AGGAATGTTCTATATTCAGGAGAATTAAAGCTTCAATTTAAAAATACATGTTTAGCTTTAGGCACCAAACAGAATATATGCTAGTGAAAGGGAAGCAGGGAAGAACACTGAAAAACAGCCTAGTTTATTCCTAAACATACTCTCCAGGCAAGATGTACATTTCCATCAAGTTGTTTACAGTCTCCCAATTAATTGAGGTAATTATTTAGCCTCAATAACAATCACCTCTCATTAGTTACTGGAGTTAGTTGGAAACCTGAAGACAATTCAATGGAAATGTTTAATGAAAAATACCTGGTGAAAGGGCTGCCCACATGCAGTATGGATCTCAGGAGAAGTGATCCTGGGCATATGTGGCACCGGGACACACGAACATGAAGAGTTCTCCTGAGGAATCAGTTCACAAATGACATTCAAGCCTCTATAACAGAGTCATGAACAATTCTTCTGAATCCCATTTGCTTATGGCATGGCTCAATGACATTTCAGTGAAAAGACTCATTGATTTCAGGGGGCTTTGGGAGAAAGTCTTAGGGCTTTACACTGTTGGGTGCTTAGTAGTTTGAACTTCAGCTGGCAGTACGTATTTTTTGGGATTCAATTCAGTCTAGAAGTTTCATCACTTTGGATGTCTGAAATATTTCCATTGCATATATTGAGTGTCCTGAGCAACTGCTTACCATCAGCTGCTTCGTCTCCTCCAAAGTTCTGTCTGTAGAACAGCATTAACTCTATGTTGTAGCACTTATAGATGGTCACGAGCAAAATAAGCAGAAGAAGGATGGCTCCCAGTCCTCCAGCAAGCTCTATTTTGTAGATCAAATCTAAAATTAGCAAGGAAAGACAAAAAGGTTATGATCTTTCCGAGCTTTATTTGCTCTAATCCACTGTACAATTCCACATAAAATTGTGCAGCTTCCAATTATAACCACTGTAACATGAAGGATGCCTAATTTTTTTGTTCATTACCTGTTATTTAACTTTACCCATTTACTCCATCTACTGCCCATCTGAAATCGCCATCCAGAATGCACTTGAGGCTATAATCATAATTCTTCTACAAGGGAATTAGGTAGTGATTTTACATGGAGGATTAACCAACTTTTAATGAGCTTGTGAAGTTTGAAACTTCTGTATTGGCAGAGTGCATCAAATGCTGTATGTAGCATGTGAGAATAAATATACTAGACACCCCATTTGGGAGGCTCTAGTCCCCCAAATAATATTAAACTTTGGTTTTATATTTGTGAAGCCAGTGGATTAGCTGATGTGACCTGCCAAGTCAGGACTTCAGCTGAATCACTGGAGAATGAATTAAGCATCCAGAATGCCCAAAATAACGTGAGAAGCCAGGAGCACACATCAGGCTCCTAAGAGCCACTTTGTTTGAGTTGTGATGGCTACTAACGGAGTTCTTACATATTTGTTTACTACACATTATACTTTAATGCGAACTAGTGCTAGTTAAAATTTCCTACTGGGATGCTTTTGTTAGGAAATGTCACAAGCAGTCTGCCTAAAATGCAATTATCCATCTTTTACAGCTGGGGAAACAGAGGCATAGAAAAATGAAGCAATATGTTCAAGGTCATTCAGCACCAATGCCAGAATGGGATAAAAAACCTTGAATACCAGTCTTACCTGACATAAGACACTAACTTTAACAGTATTGCTCTTTAGCCTGAAATGTCCTCTGAAGGCAATATCGCTCATAAAACCACTTGGCATATTACTTAGCCAGAAAAGACAAAAGATGACAATTTGACAATAGCTACTTCTAAAAACCTGTATTAGTTTAGATAAGACGTCATGAAGATATTGTGATAAATAGAACATGAAGATGTAAAAACTGTAATACAGGCAAGACAAAGTTTTCGTGATCTTTACAGTTCTATAACGTAGGTCAGAAAAAAATTACTGGTATTTTGTGTCATTTTCAAGATAAAAAGCAAATTAGTTGTGTATCTTTTGGGGTTATTCTTGCCTCGCTATGCCTTGTATTTCAATAATTAACATCAGATGTCAAGCTTTTCCCAGTTTACAGTATGTCTGATGTCTGCCTGGTAAGAAGTCATGGACTAATAGATGGAAAAAGTCTATTATGATAGCTATTTAATCTCTCTGAGAACACAGGGAATTCATGGAACTTTTATTACACTGCATGATAAGTTAGCATATGCTGTGGGGATAAATCTGGTCAAATGGAGAACAGAGTTAGTTAAAATCACTTTTCAGGGAAAAAACTATTTTTTTCATTGTACTGAGTTTTTTTTGCTAGGAAAGTGAGATTATGGCAAAGCTGCCAGCTTGGAAGAAGAGAAAATGCTGAGTCTTGATCACCTGCAGCCCACAAAGGAGCACAGACTTGTGTTCACTTGCTGGGGGAATGGCAGAGTATCGAGCAAAAACACAAACTCCAGCTCAAAAGGCAGAATCGATCTTTGCATGTCCTGTATTTGTCCTACTGCCCCATAAACTCTCCTAGAGTCCAGATGTAAGGAAGCAGAAAGCCAAGGCTTTTGAGCTCCTTATTTCCATTCCAAGGTGGAGGCAATGGAGAAAACCCCAGAATGTTCAGTTTTCTTGCCTACTCCAGCTCTTAGTCTCTGCCTCTCACTAATGCCTTACTCCTCAAGTGGTCCTCACTGAGGTCAATAGGGAAGGCAGCACACCCAACATTAGGAAAGGAGTTGAATCTGGGCTTTGTGCTATAATAGTGACTGAAAATTAGTAAATAATTATATTCTGATCGTTTCTAATGTAAAATAATGTAGAAGGACTTAGCCAGTACGTGTCACAGATGATTACGGCCTTTAAAATACTACAAGTCTCATAAATACCCAATAAATGAGAGACAAATATATTTTAGAAGGTTCCTCATCATTTAGTACTATATGAGTATCAAAAAAACCCAAAAAATTTGTTTCCTGCATGTCTTGAATAAAGGTAGCCTCCTTGAAATAAATGGTGAGCAAACATCATTATAATATTTACTTTTATCTAAATTCACTTCTTCTTTCCACCAAGCACGGCTTGATTTTATTCTGCAGTTCCTGACAAGTAGTTCGTGTTCCAGGACAGTTATATTATAGACTATGTAGACTTCAATCACTAAAATACTGGACTGTTTTCATATTAATTTGAAGGGAATCCTGAACTATTTCCACAACTAAGGGACAAGCGGGTGTATATTGTGTTTCCACATGCTAGGACAGCATGAAGAAAAAAAGAAAAGAAAAGAAACACAGGATTATCCAGAACTTGTTCTTGAACTACTTGAAAGCAAATAACAATGTGGTCTTGAATTAAGTCAGTAAAGAAGAATGTGATAGCAGACAGGGATATTCAGGTCTCAGGAACATGCCTGACTCTGTCTTTTGTCTGTGTTTGAAACTGGATTTGGCTTTTTTTCAGTCAAAAAAGTAATTAAAAAAAAAAAACCTAAATGATGATGCATGCTCTGGGGCTATCAGTACACTGGTGCTGTACAGACAGCACTCCTGTATTCTCTGAAAGGATTTGTGAGGACCGTACCACTAATACAGCCAAAGAATTCAACATATTTTACCTTAAGTATTTCATAGAATCATAGAATCATAG